GAGAGACCAGAGAGAGACCAGAGAGAGACCGGAGAGAGACCAGAGAGAGACCAGAGAGAGACTAGAGAGAGACCAGAGAGAGACCAGAGAGAGACTAGAGAGAGACCAGAGAGAGACCGGAGAGAGACCAGAGAGAGACAGGAGAGAGACTAGAGAGAGACTAGAGAGAGACCAGAGTGACGGGAGAGAGACCAGAGACAGACTAGAGAAAGACCAGAGAGAGACCAGAGACAAACCAGAGAGAGACCTGAGAGAGAGACCTCGTGCCAAAGGAGATATTTCTGGTATATTTAAAAAAAATCTTGCAAATCATGTTTAAGACAGTCAAAATGTGCTCAAATTAAGAGCAAATGTTTGGCTTCTTTATCACTTTTTGCAGTGTGGCAAACTTTTTCACTTCCAATGTGGTTTTTTCTGCAAATGGCAAATGAAAAGAATCTGAATCTTCAACCTTGGGCTTTGTTGTTCAAAATATGGATTTGGTCATCCACAAAAGCATTGATTAACATTACAGCGCTGGTGACAAGCTGAGCTCCGTCACTGGAAACTGAAGAAACAACAGTAAAACCATAAAACATACATCATACTAGCGGTGGGCGATATTCATATTGCGGTATAATATGGGACACAGACGGTAAACGGTATTGCAGTATAATTTGGTGTGTGAATTTCAATAGGTCTTGCATAAAATAGTCAAGATTGTTACTTAAATATATATTGGAATCTAATATATTTATTTTTTGAGTTCGAAAATCAGGTGTGTCCAGTCTCCACAAACAAAATCCCCAGTATTTCATCCAGTATTTAACATTTTTAGCATATAATCTTATTCCATGTTAAAGCGACACCATGCTTTTGAAATGCAGAATGAACTGAAGACCCTGTGGTTAGTGGGTAGGGTTGCCAACTTGAGAACAGAAAAATAAAAATATTGGCCGCGAAAGTCCCAATCTGAGGCTAACTTTACCAAACGTCTGCCGTGATGATGCTGCGGCCACGCTGGCGCTTGTCAACGTTAAGTCCATGGATGTGATCTGGGCTAATGCTGCTGGGCTAATGCTGCTGGGCTAATGCTGCTGGGCTAATGCCGGTTGTTTTGGTGCTTTCTCCTAGCGTAGCTTTAGCCAATCGGCGCCGGGTTAACCTCAAGTTCCACCAGAGTAACTAGCATGGAGGAGAGGCACACTATAACAAAAATCTATCATTGGCCAAATTTTTATCGCATACCGCTTATACCATTTATATCGCCCAGTCCTACATCATACTTTCGCTCTGCCAAATCTAAACCTCCCCTGCTGCGTAGGGATGACAGCCTGATTCACTGGGATTGCTCCATTCTACACACTTCCGTCTCTACCTCTGACCTGAAAAGTTAAATGTTCGATCCCTCTCATTGATCCAGGTCCATCCTCAGCTCTCACGGGCCTTTGGGGAAATGTTTTATTGACAAGTTGTTGTTTGTTGTGAATTAGCGCTTCAGGGTCCGAGCCTAAGACACTACATGGTCAGTGTGAGCTAACTAAGGCCAAGATACAGAATTGTTCTTCTAGGTTTTATTTTTCTCAGTAGAGTTCTGCCAAAAATCACAATCTAAAGTGATGTAGTTGGCGATTGTCTAGACCTGAATTCAAATTGAAAGGCAAGGCTGTCTTGGCCATTGTATTTTTTCTACCAGAGAGAGAGACCAGAGAGAGAGACCAGAGAGAGAGACCTGAGAGAGACCAGGGAAAGACCTGAGAGAGAGACCAGAGAGAGAGACCAGAGAGAGAGAGACCAGAGAGAGAGACCAGAGAGAGACCAGAGAGAGAGACCAGGGAGAGACCAGAGAGAGAGAGACCAGAAAGAGACCAGAGAGAGAGACCAGGGAGAGACCTGAGAGAGAGACCAGAGAGAGAGACCAGAGAGAGACTTGAGAGAGACCAGAGAGAGACAGGAGAGAGACCAGAGAGAGACTAGAGAGAGACCGGAAAGAGACCAGAGAGAGACAGGAGAGAGACCAGAGAGAGACTTGAGAGAGACCAGAGAGAGACCAGAGGGAAATCAAAGAGAGAGACCAGAGAGAGAGACCAAAGAGAGAGAAATCTTTCTGCTCTATAGTGCTCATCTATGACGCGTTTGGATCGTCGGCCCATGTGGTCTCCCTGCTGTACGTCCAGATTATTAATAACAATACTTAGAAATCGGCTGGGTATTCTGGGAAAAAAAACATAGGATTGGATTGGAGCATGTTTTGACGTCTTGTATCTTTTGTAAGGGGACCTTAAGTGCCCAGAAAGGCGCCATATAAATAAAATGTATAATTAATAAAATGTATTATTACTGTAGGAATCATGTCATGTTTGTGTATACACAGTGCAGTGTGACTTCCCTCATTCAAACAGACATGAAGCTGTTTTTATTGTACATTTGTCCACACTTCTGGTACAAACATGTAACCCTGTCCTTTCCGTTTTTGCTCATGTGCAGTAAAACCACAATGAAATACATGCAGTTTTTTACCTCCAAATTAGTTGTGCCAATTTCTAAGAAGAAACTACGTTCTTTACGACAGTGTGGATACAGTTTGCAACACGTATTGTGTGATGTTTGTGTTTTATCAAATCATTTCAACAACTACCTCTAGTGGTAGAATTGGGTAATTACATGCTGACCAATAAACAAGATGGCGCCTCGTACGGTCGACATGGCTCTTTGCTGCTCTCTTTTTCTTTTGTTTTTACGTTTTAACTGTGCATCTGGCTGTTCCTACACCCGTGAGGAACTTATGAACATCCGACCCACCGTTCCCATGGACCTATTGCCTGTTTTCTTGGCATCTGCGGCTGATTTAGTTCATGTTCTAGCCAAAAAAGTGTGGGCCCGTAAAAGGGGAAAGCGCGAAGGCCTGCTGGTGCGTCTTAGGAGGAGAGGAGCGCGCACGGCTCTCCCCGGCATTTTTCTCTCCAACGTACGCTCACTGGGCAATAAGATGGACGAACTCAGCCTGCTCATGAGAAGAAACAAGGACTTCGCCACATCCTGTGTCCTCTGCTTCACTGAGACCTGGCTAAATGATCGGATCCGGGACTGCACTCTGGAGCTGCAGGGCTTTGGGCTGTTCCGCGCGGATCGCCATTGTGCGCTCTCAGGGAAGAGCAGAGGCGGTGGGCTGTGTTTCTACGTCAATACAAACTGGTGTAACGATGTGACAGTGATCTCCAAGCACTGCTCTCCTGCTCTGGAATATCTTTTCATTCATTGTAAACCATATTACTCCCCTTGTGAAATTGTTTCATTCATTCTTGCCTCTGTTTACATACCGCCATGCGCGGACGCGCGCGAGGCTCAGCGCGCACTCGCAGAGCAAGTACTGTGTATGGAACGTTTATACCCGGACTCTCTGATTATTATCCTGGGGGATTTTAATAAGGGAAACTTGAGCCAGGAATTACCCAAATACAGACAGTTTATCAAATGCCCGACCAGAGAGGAGAACACTCTGGATCACTGTAACACCACCGTGCGCGGAGCTTTTCGCGCTGTTCCCAAGCCAGCCCTCGGCTTCTCAGATCACTCCATGATACATCTGGTTCCTGCTTACAGACAGAGACTAAAGCTCTCGAAACCTGCAGTGAGGAGCTCCAAAGTGTGGTCTGATGAAGCTGTGGAAGAGCTGCGCGCATGCATGGAATCTACAGACTGGGACCTTTTCAGAGCTGCCACAGACAGTTTGGATGAATACACGGACACTGTGACGTCATACATTCACTTCTGTGAGGATAGCATCATTCCAACAAGGACCAGGGTCATCTATAACAACGACAAACCCTGGTTCACTGCTAAACTCCGGCAGCTCAGGAAAGCAAAGGAGTCTGCTTTCAGGGAGGGGACCGCAGCGGCTACAAAGCAGCTAAATATCAGTTCAGGAAAGAACTGAAAGCAGCCAAGTCCCGGCACAGAGAACGACTACAGGAGCAGTTTGGTAACAACGATACTGCTTCTGTCTGGAGGGGCCTACGGGAGATCACCAACTACAAACCCAAAGCCCCCCCCCCTGTGCTGATGACCACAAGCTAGCTGACGAACTGAACTTATTTTTCAGTCGCTTTGATGCTGCCCCTGACACCTCTCCCTCCCCCACCCCCCACTACTCTAACGACCCACCCATCAGCCCTGCCCCCAGCCTAACAATAGCCGCTAAAGAGATTAAACAACTCTTCTTGAGGCTGCACCCCCGCAAAGCTCCTGGCCCGGACCACGTGTCTCCGGCCACTCTGAGACACTGCGCCAGTGAGCTTACTCCTGTGTTCACGGACATTTTCAACACCTCTCTGCAGTCCTGCCATGTCCCGGCCTGCTTCAAATCCTCCATCATTGTCCCCGTCCCGAAGAAGCCCAGGATCACAGGACTCAATGACTACAGACCTGTAGCACTTACGTCTGTCGTCATGAAGTCATTTGAACGCCTGGTTCTTTCCCATCTCAAGTCCCTCACCTCCCCCCTCCTGGACCCCCTGCAGTTCGCCTACAGAGCCAACAGATCTGTAGACGACGCCATTAACCTGGCCCTCCACCACATCCTACAGCACCTGGACTCCCCGGGGACCTACGCCAGGGTCCTGTTCGTGGACTTCAGCTCTGCCTTCAACACAATCCTGCCATCCCTGCTCCAGGACAAGCTCTCCCAGCTCAACGTGCCCGATTCCACCTGCAGGTGGATCACTGACTTCCTGACGGACAGGAAGCAGCGAGTGCGTCTGGGGAAGAATGTCTCGGACCCTCGGATTATAAATACAGGAGCCCCACAGGGCTGTGTTCTTTCTCCCCTGCTCTTCTCCCTGTACACCAACCACTGCACCTCCAGCCACGACTCCGTGAAGCTGATCAAGTTCGCGGACGACACCACCCTCATTGGACTCATCTCCAACAACGATGAGTCCGCCTACAGGAGGGAGGTGGACCGGCTGGTGTCCTGGTGCAGTGGTAACAACCTGGAGCTGAACGCCCAGAAGACAGTGGAGATGATTGTGGACTTCAGGAAGAGCACTGTCCCCCCGCCCCCACCCTCCGTGATGGACTCCCCCATCACCTCTGTGGAGTCCTTCCGTTTCCTGGGCACCACCATCACCCAGGACCTCAAGTGGGAGCCGACCATCAGCTCCCTCATCAAGAAGGCCCAGCAGAGGATGTACTTCCTGCGGCAGCTCAGGAAAGCCAAGCTGCCTGCACAGATGTTGGTGCAGTTCTACACGGCCATCATCGAGTCCATCCTCACCTCCTCCATCACCGTGTGGTTCGCTGGAGCCACAGTCAGGGACAAACAGAGACTACAGCGCATTGTGCGCTCTGCAGAGGAAGTGATCGGCCGCAGCCTTCCATCGCTGCAGGACCTGTACGTCGCCCGAGCTCGAGGCCGGGCTGGTCGTATCACAGCCGACCCCTCTCACCCTGCACATGGACTATTCCAACCACTCCCCTCAGGCAGGAGGCTGCGGTCCATCAGGACTAGAACTGATTGATCGAGAGCAAGATGGCGCCTGTGACTGGCGATGCCACGGCTCGTCTCCTACTGTGTAGATTGCTAATGGTCATTTTGTCAACCTATGCGATCATATCAGCCCAAATAACAAAAGGATGTGTGGCTATACGGACTTTTGATCGGGACTCTTTGTTTCGTATAAAGCAGTCAATGGAGGGCCTGTTTGATACATGGGACAGCTACAAACAGGCGTTTCCTCCTCCTTTCATCATCGATCCCGGCTCACCTGATTACTTGTTGTGTTGGGCGCCGCGCAGGGTCCGCAGGAGATCCAAGAAAAGAGGCTCTCGGTCCGGTGTCCAGGTTAAGCGAAGGCGTGCCGCATCGCGCTTTGGCTCCGCTGTCTTCGGCTGCAGGGATCGTGCTCGGTGCCTGCGCCAGATTCCTCTCCTCGATGCGTGTGACAGGGTGTCCACGCCGACGCCTGCTCGGACTACAACGAGTGTCCTGGACCCATCACAGCGCTGGAGTTGTGGTCAGGAGCTTTCATCGCCATCGCTTACTTCCGTGTTTGTGCCTGCTCTTCCAGCATGGACCAGCTGGAGTCCACGTGACCGCTGGACGTGCCTTCGACCAATCCCGCTGCTCAACACAGACACTGCCTTCGTGACGTCATCTACAATCTGCGTTGGCCTGTTGAATGCTCGTTCAATTGCGAATAAATCTCATTCATTGAACGATCTTTTCGTCAGAGAAAGCTTGGATATCATGTGTCTTTCGGAGACTTGGCAGAGAGAGGAAGAGTTCATTCATTTAAATGATCTCTGCCCAGCTGGCTGCTCTGTTGTCGGGAAACCCCGCCCCTGTCGCCGTGGTGGTGGCCTGGCATTTGTGCACAGGGATGTCCACAAATGCAAAGTGACCCAGTCCCAAGAATTCACATCTTTTGAATCCCAGCTGGTCAAGGTGGGCTTTTCATCCCCATTTTACTGTGTGTTGATCTACCGTCCTCCTGGCCCCGCTGCTGCCTTTTTAAAGGATTTTAGTGACTTTTTATCCTCTATAATAAAGTTGGAATCTGTTTTACTCCTTGGGGATTTTAAACTTCATGTTGACGACTGCTCATCTTGCCCCGCAATGGAACTGCTTACATTGACTGAAACTTTTAATTTTGAGCAGCATGTTTCTGAGCCCACTCACCAAAAAGGCCATACTCTTGACCTAGTTTTTACGCTTGGCATAGACATTTTAAACTTGTCTGTGATTGATGTCCATATGAGTGATCATAGTCTTGTTATGTTTGATCTGTACTTTAGTCCTGAGCCCAAGCCTTCAGCAGTCAGGTCTCAGAGGCGTGTCATCTCTGCTAATACCGCAGATAGTTTTTCAGAAATGTTTGACCCTCTTTTAGTCATGGACTGTTTCGATGTGGACAATCTCATTCACTGTTTTAATAACCACTGTGAAACAATTTTGGATCAGTTGGCTCCTGTTAAATCAAACTTGTCACAGAAAAAAGCGTGTCCTTGGACAAATGATGATATCTTAAGACTCAGGAGGCTATGTCGAAAGACTGAACGCCTGTGGAAATCCACTGATCTTGAGGTGCACAGGCTCTATCTCAGGGATCTTGTGTCATCATACAACGTGATGATTGAAAATTCCAGATCTGAATATATCCGTCAACTGGTAACATTGAATAAGAAAAATCCCAAAGTGTTGTTTGACTCAATTAACTATCTTGTGTGTCCTGCTGCTCCAGTTACCCCTGTCTTTTGTGAAGCTGACAGCAATGCCTTTTCGAGATTTTTCACAAACAAAATTAAGATGATCAAGGATAAAATCTCGCCCCTTCTGTGTGGCACCCCTGCTGTGTTTGAGCCTGTGTCCAGCATGTGGTCTTCATTTAAAACGGTGACATTTGCTGATATTTCAGCACTGGTGTCCAAGATGAAGCCCTCCTCTTGTTCATCTGACATCCTTCCTTGCAGGCTCTTTCAAAAAGTGTTCGAGGTAATTGGCCCTTGTGTTACCAAAATGGTTAATGTCTCTTTGTCAACTGGCGTGTTTCCCAGTGCCTTTAAACATGCCATAGTGGAGCCACTACTAAAAAGAGCAGGGTTAGACCCGACTGATCTTAATAGTTTTAGGCCTATTTCAAAACTCCCGTTCCTGTCCAAGATCCTTGAGAAGGTGGTCTGTGAACAGCTTACGTTCTTCCTGGATCAAAATAACATCCATGAGCCGTTTCAGTCTGGTTTCCGTAAACAACACTCTACGGAAACGGCCTTGCTGAAAGTGTCCAGCGACATTATGATGTCTGCTGATTCTGGGAAGCGCACTGTTCTAGTTCTCTTGGATCTGTCCTCAGCATTCGACACCGTTGACCATCAGGTTCTGCTGAAAAGACTGAGGGATCAAGTAGGACTGTCGGGGGCAGTTCTACAGTGGTTCTCCTCATATTTATCGGGGCGTAGCTTCAGTGTTACAGCTAACCAAATTAGGTCTGAGTCTGTGGGTTTGTTGTGCGGAGTGCCTCAAGGGTCCGTTTTGGGTCCTGTCTTATTTTTGTTGTATTTGATTCCTTTGGGAAAGATCATCCAAAGGTTCAGTGATGTTTCTTTCCACCTATTTGCTGACGATATCCAGCTTTACTGTTCCTTTAAGCCGTCTGAAATCCAGAAGCTAGACTCTCTGCTCCATTGTCTAATGGAAATAAAACAATGGCTCAGCGATAACTCTCTGCAGCTAAATGCAGACAAAACCGAAACACTGGTTATCGCACCTGATGATGCAATTCCGGGGATTAAACAGTACCTGGGTGACTTAGGCCAGTCAGCGAAGCCAAGTCTTCGAAACTTGGGCGTCATCTTTGACAAAGACATGTCATTAGTCCAGCACTGTAAGCAGCTAACAAGGAACTGCTTCTTTCAACTAAGGAACATTTCTAAACTTAGGAATATGGTTGCACGTAATGATTTGGAGCTTATCATTCATGCATTTGTGTCTTCACGCTTAGACTATTGTAATAGTTTGTTTTCATGTCTAAATAAGAAGGAGCTCTCTCGACTGCAACTAGTGCAAAACTCTGCAGCGAGAATTCTGACCCGCACTAACAGGAGGACCCACATATCTCCTATTTTAAAACAACCTCATTGGTTGCCAGTGTCCTATAGGATCACGTTTAAAATTTTGGTTCTAGTTTTCAGAGCCTTGCGTGGTCAAGCTCCTTCTTACCTCAGTTTTCTGATCCAGCCTCACACCCCTGCTCGGGCTCTGAGGTCTATGGATCAAAATCTGCTAAAGGTTCCACGCACTTGTTTTCGTACAAGAGGTGACCGATCCTTCCAGGCTGTTGCTCCCAGGCTTTGGAACGATCTTCCGCCCTCTTTGCGCTCTACTGACTCTGTTGATACTTTTAAAAGCAATCTTAAGTCTCATTTATTTGTTCAAGCCTTTAATTAGCTATTTTTGGGCTGATACGATTTCTGTGTTGTTTTGACCCTTTTTATATTGTATTTAATTTTGTGATGTTTTAACTGTGTTGTGAAGCACTTTGTGGCCTTTGCCTGTGAAAGGTGCTATACAAATAAAGTTTACTTACTTACTTACTTACTTACTTACTTACTAACCTCCCGCCACAAGAACAGTTTCTTCCCCTCTGCTGTTGGACTCTTGAACACTTCTTAACCTGTCCCCCCGCCCTTTATAAAGTCACTTTACTGCCCATCATACGTCACTTTACTTCACTGTACTGCTGTCACCTTACATTGTGTGCACCATGTGCACTTGTATATTGTAAATAGTAACTGTAACTCTATTTTAAATTTAAATTTATTCTTTAGAAGTGTTTTTTATTCTTATTTTTATTATCTCTTTTTGACTGTTGCACTGAGCCAAAGCAATTTCCAAGTCTGTGACCTCCTGTTACTTACGTGGCAATAAAAATGATTCTGATTCTGATTCTGAGATCGATACGTTATTCTTTACATATAAATAATGTCTACTTTGCATTCTGAAATAGGTTTTGTCAACGTCAAGATTCTCAAAAAATAATGCATACCATTTCCTAATTAAAGGTTTAAAATATAAAATTATTATATTTAGATTATTAAGTGCTTATTTCTTTTAAATAGTTGTCTGCCAAAACTTGTTGATCAGAGTCTTAGGAGGACGGAATCCAATCGTGTGGTCCAAATTAAAACAACAAAAGCAGAACTGTGGCCGTAATTAACTTTACGGTTTGGTGAAGGTTGTGATGAATTTTGGTTTAAGGTAGAAAATGGATCCATGCTTTTCAAACCAAACAACAAAGAAATTAACTTTGAAATCATGCATTCTCCGCTGGTCCCATTTCTGCAGATCTTAACCGCATCACTGAAGTTACACGGTGATAATTTTTGACTTATTTTTGTAACATCACTTTAACTCTCAACAGAAGTCTATAAAAGACAGTGTTCTCCATTAAACAGATGTTAGCAGAGTGTGCAGCCTTTATCGTCCAATTTCCGCCTTGTTGCCTTTAAAAACAAAACAACGTCGCCCCGCTCAGTCTAATAAATGTATATATGTTAATTGTCGGTGGCATTGAACCTCGGCAGACCTCACAAACAAACACACTATGGTTAATTAATGCAACACAATGTGTCGCAAGAGTCAAAATAAACAGGGGAGGTAAACATGAGGCTCTCGGCCAATCAGAATGCAGCTCTTGGTCACTCATCAACAAACATGCGTCAAATTCGCCAAATTTGTTAAGAAACGCAATGATAAAAAAACACATAGAGCCATTGGTCCATAGGGGGCAGATGACCAATGTCGATAAATGCAGCTGGGGTTTCTGGGTAATACATTTGCTGCTTGATTATTTCCTTCACCTCTGGCTCTGCTCCAAACCCCCAAAAAGTCAACAGTCTTCCCCCCACACGCATAAATATATATAGGGACAATTTTATTTACTTTATTTCCCCAAACACAATACTGGATTTGTGAAGTGCTTCTGAGCTCGGAGCCAAAACTGAAATTACCAAAATACACAAAGTTTAAAAATGTCTGCCTGAGAATACAAACGCTATACACTCCCAACACCGCAGGCTGGTGTTTGTAAAGGCAATATTGAGAGAGCTGCATTTAGGCCGCTCCGTCAAGAATCAAGAGAGAAAAGGAAGGAAGGTGTTTGAGATTTTCTGATTTAAAGCTTTAATTGCTGACATCCAGGAAAACACGGGTTATATTAAGTCAGGATCGGTTTGTCTTTGCCAAACAGACGTGTTTATGGATCGTCTGGAGACATTGGTGGGGATTTGAAGAGAGGGATTGACTGTTAGTGTTGGCATGTGTCATAAAAATAGAAAAAGAAAAAAAAAGTCCAGCAAATCATTATAAAACTAGGAAGTCGGATTCAAATTAAGATAAAATAATGAGTTATTTGTCCCACAGTGGGGAAATTTCATGGTTGCATCGGCGGTTACAGAACAGTAGGAATGAGGAGCACACAACACAAGATAAATGAACAGTAACTCTGTACTAAAATGAAATAAAATCTCCAAAAAAAACAAAAACAAACTAGTCTAATATCGTGTCTATCCTATTACCCTTACAGAAATGGGATGGA